TTTTTTTTTTTTTTTGCTTTTGCTTTTAAGCTATCATTTTGGCCTTTTTTGTTACTAACTCCTACGATTTGGGGCTTCTTTCAGATTCTCTCTGCTATTTTAAACTTTTATACTTTTTTCAGCTGCTTTCTGCTTATTTCCTCTGTTTAGTTTTTTTCTAGCTAATTTGAGCTTTTTTCAGCTAAACTCACCTTTTTGTGATCATTTCAGCTTCTTAATCAAGCTAATGTGGTCTTTGCTGTTTCTTTGTGCTAATTTCAGCTTCTATTTCAGCTATTTTAGACTAGTTTAAGCTATATAGCACAAATATTTTAAGCTTTATAGCACAAATCTTTCAACATTAAGCAGTCACGCTGCATTTTCGCAGTAAATGCAAATACTCTAGTTTATTTCTTATTGTTCTGCAGCTCAAATGAAAACTCAACATGGATTTTCTTCTGTTTAAATCAAATCTAAACATAAATTCTGTTAATTCTGTTTTATATATTTGCTCATGAGTCAAATTTAAATCTTCCTATCTAGACCTCCAGCGTTTAAAAGCATCTTACTTTTATTTTAAACAAGTTGTTGTGACCAGAGAAGCTTTGGGGTTGTTTCTGTTCACAAAGGCAAAAAATAAATAAAATAAAATCATTTTTCTTTTAGCCAGAATCACATTAAACTAACAGGAAGTTTTGGATCTACATGACCTTTATAAAGGTTTTACAACAACCTTTCGTTTGCTACAGTTTTCAGTACAAAAACGGCCTAAAAATATTATTTAAATGTCACAAGAAGGTTAAAGAAGACCCCAAATGTCCCACCGTGGCCAGCATTTTTTTTAAACAAAAACATTTTGTCCCTTTTATTAACGGCCTGCATGGTTTGTCCTCAGGTGTGTGCGTGTCAGGTACGAGCCACGGGGAAGATGTACGCCTGCAAGAAGCTGGAGAAGAAGCGGATAAAGAAAAGGAAAGGAGAGGCCATGGCTCTGAACGAGAAACAGATCCTGGAGAAAGTCAACAGTCGATTTGTTGTAGGTGTCTCCTGTAGATGTTAAAATAAACACTGTCCCCCAGAGGCTGAGAGACACAACTACAYGGGTTAAAAAACAAAACAGAAGTAAACAAACCATCGCTGTAAAAGTGTCACATTGGTGTTTTGACACAAACAGGAGGTTCTAGAGGTTTGATTTGGTCTCATATGAGCACAGCAGCTTCTTCCACACGTTTAAAACATCTTTAGTTAAAACGATTCAGCTGAACCAGAGCACAAAAATAAATCGCCGCTCTTCTTGGCTCAGGTCAGTCTGGCGTACGCCTACGAGACGAAGGACACCCTGTGCCTCGTGCTGACCCTCATGAACGGCGGCGACCTGAAGTTCCACATCTACCACATGGGCGAGGCGGGCTTCGAGGAGAAGAGGGCGGTTTTCTACGCCGCGGAGATCTGCTGCGGCCTGGARGACCTGCACAGGGAACGCATCGTCTACAGGTGACCCTCCTTTAAAGACACGGTAATCCGATTGGCTCATGGTTTCTTTCGGGTCTTTCAAGACCTTTTTTTTCTGTCCAACAGGGACCTGAAGCCGGAAAACATCCTGCTGGACGACCACGGTGAGTCTCAGAAATCTGAATATTATCAGTTCTAATCATAAACATCTATAATTAAGACAAGAAATGACAAATTAAAGATGCTTCAGGTTCACTTCTTCAAAAATATGTTTTACATTTATTCTATTAGTAACTCAGAACTTTTACTTCAGGTCATTTTAATGCAAAYAGTTTGACTAAAATGAGCTTAAAATCTATAAAAACATCATCTATATGAGGTTCTTATAACTGAAATTAAAATATTAGAGAATTTCTGACTCAAAGTTTAATCTTAAAATATTTAGTCCCAGAGTTTTTAATCTGATCTTTTTTTAATAAATGACATTTTGTTTTCTGTCAAAATGTCTTAAAACAGAGGGCAGCAGAAGGGTTAAAGTAAGAATTGTTAATTTTTTTTTGTTAAAATAAGGTTCAAATTGACTAAATAAATAATGTAATCTGAAATAATTTATTCCATCAGATAATTTTTCTACAAACAAATCTGTTTGACGTTAAACTTCCTGTAGTTGAACACCAGGGGGCGCTCTGACACCATGACAAGTTACCACCTGCCACCAGAAGGGACGGGCAGTCATGTTAACAACCTGTTAGCAAAATATCTCATGAGAGGAGGTTCTTAAATTATTCATAAATCTGCAACTGTTCAACTTTTAGACTCAGTTTGATTCAAGATGGCCGCCACAGCTAACCCCTAAAAGTGGCACCACAGATTGAGATTATCAGATTATTGTTCTTTCAGGTCACATCAGGATATCGGACCTGGGTTTGGCCGTTTACGTCCCGGAGGAAGAGACCATAAAGGGCCGAGTGGGAACTGTGGGCTACATGGGTGAGTTTCAGAGATGGGCTCGTTAGAACTTCCTCAGTTTACTGTAGGTTCTAACCGGACCTTCCTCTCTGCCCCGCCCCGCCCCGCCATGCCCCGCCCCGAAGCTCCGGAGGTGGTGACCAACGAGCGCTACACCTTCAGCCCCGACTGGTGGGCGCTGGGCTGCCTGCTGTACGAGATGATCGAGGGCCAGTCGCCATTCCAGCAGAGGAAGAAGAAGATCAAGAGGGAGGAAGTGGAGCGGCTGGTCCGGGAGGTGGAGGAGGAATACTCCGACAAGTTCTCCGAGGACGCCAAGTCCATCTGTAAAATGGTGGGCGGAGCCTTTTCCTCATCGTTGGAGCTTAGAGTTCATGTTGAACCACAGACAAATATAGATTTAAACCTTTTTTTCAAGTTAAAGGTTTTGTTATTTGTAGCTTTATTTTGATAGCTTCCTGTTTCTCCTCAGCTGCTGGTCAAAAACCCCGCGGAGCGGCTGGGCTGCATGGGGGGCGGAGCCACCGAGGTCAAAAGTCATCACATCTTCCGTTCCGTAAATTTCAAACGCCTGGAGGCGGGCATGCTGCAGCCGCCCTTCGTCCCCGATGTGAGTGACGACCAAATAATCCTGTTTTATCTGGTTTGTTGTTTGAAGCAGGAAGATGTTCTTGATCAAAGGTTTTATTTTAACTTTGGTCTCTTTTTGAACGCTTCAGTCCTGATTACTTTTAGAAAATTGTTTCGCTTCATTTTGTCTCACAACTCAAAAAACAAAGCAGTTTTATGTCGACAAAACTCACCAAAGAACAAAACTTGAATAAATCTTGCTGCCAAAACGTCCAACTTCTATCAACACTCTTCTTCAAAGCCCGACAGGAAGTTTGGACTTTTATTTTGTAACAATCTAATATGAAAAAATCAACAAGAGGACCAAACCTTAAAGCTGCCACCAGTGGCTCGTTAGGGTTACCGCGGTAGCCACAGCCCTTTATCTGTCACTCCCTGACATCAAACACGAAGACGTCACATAAAAACAGCTGGTTTATCRTCTCAGACGTCTCCTGCCCTCATGGTTAAAGTCGTCCTCTTGTGTTCTGTTCTTCAGCCTCAGGCCGTCTACTGTAAAGACGTTCTGGACATCGAGCAGTTCTCCACCGTCAAAGGTGTGGAGCTGGACCCGAAAGACGAGTCTTTCTACAGTAAGGTGTCCACGGGCTGCGTCTCCATTCCCTGGCAGAATGAGGTGAGAGCCGAGGGACGAGTGACGTCACCCGCTGCCTCGCAGGCCGAGCTTTTTCTCTGAATTTTGTCTTTTCCTCCCGCAGATGATCGAGACGGAGTGTTTCAACGAGCTGAACGTGTTCTACGAGGACGGTGCTGTTTCTCCGGACCTGGACTGGAGGGGTCAGCCGTCCCCTCCGCCCAAACAGGGTCTGCTGCAGCGGCTCTTCGGCAGGCAGGTGAGCAGTGAACGAGTCCCACTGCGAAGCTGCGAGCTCTGTCCAGCTAGCAGATTAGTTTAGAACAATATCTACTGATGGGCTTTTATACAGTATATATATATTTACATATAATGCTCACAAGGATTACAATTTATATAATATTAACGGAATAAAAAACTTACCAGAAAGCCTAAATTCTGGTCATATTGTGRTGTTTGTGGTTCACCTATTGTTTGTTAGGGATGCCCCTCTGCTACTACCACCCTAAACTCCAGCTCAGTATCTGTAAAACTGACCGAGTTGCACCAGTATAGTTGTTGGTCATCAGTGACTCTGAGCTCTGTATCTCCCTCTGCAGGACTGCTGTGGGAACTGCAGCGACAGCGACGAGGAACCCACCCGGCTGTGAAACCCTCGCAACCCGAACACGAGCCCCGCCCCCCCGTTTACAACTTTTGCACATTTGTATTTTTTTAGGTCGTACTCTCTTCTAAATGTCAGAATGTATATTTTCAGCATCTAGCCATAATTGTTATTTAAACGTGTGAAATATTCGCTTCAACCCGGGAACACAGATTTGTTTTTGCTTTTATTTTCTTATTCAGGGATGCTTTTAGTTTTCATTCGTGTAGAAACTGAACTGCTGAGCGGCTCCGCGGGAACAAGTGCCTGTCTGCACACCTGCCTGCTGTAAAAGTGCCTTGCTTGTGAGCGCCGTGGCAATGGGTACTGAATATTTCTGTCTTCATGTTTCCTCATGTCGTGCCGAGGAAACCAATGAACTGTGACCACTTCAACCGCTGTGACCAACAAAGACTGTTTTTGAAGCTTCAACGTTTTGTTTCTCTGATTTTAATCTTAGAGTTGTAAAGTCTGCTTCTGCAGGTTGTTTATAATCATGTTTTTGTTTTTTGATGAATTTCTTGAGACAATCAGCTCTGTGTGTCGRATGTGACTGAAAACGTTGGGTCAAAGCGTTGTATTGACCCACACTGTGCCTTCTTCCTTCCAAACACAGTTTATTCAGACAGAAACCTCATTCCTAGTCCCCATGAATCACAGGAAATCAGTAACTTTACGGCTGATGTTGTCAAAGTTTGGGTTATGAAAGACCAAGCTGGAGGTCTCAAAATTCATTTGAAAGGATGTCTGACAGCATATTTATGCTCTCATTGTTACAGAAGATTAAACAAAAATCAAAAATGTATAAAAATGGTTAATTATTTGTGTTGTCTCGTTATGTCTGTTTAATTGGAGGTATTTAATGCAAACTATACTTTTCTTCCTGCTTTAAGCTGATTTTAGTTTTCCAAATACACCTCACATTGTCAATTTGTTTCAGCTTGTCTTTAGTTTCATCAGCAGGTTTCAGTAAAATCATTCAGTAATATTTAGACTGTGTGTTCGCAGCTATGTATCTTGTTAGATACTTTTTTTGTGAAGGAGCAAGAGTACCTGTTGAAAACCCATGAATTTTATCTCCAGTTAAGTTGAGGTAATTAAAAGAGTAAAAGATAAGTAAGTAAAATAAGTTAAGGTATTATGATTATTATAGTTTTTGTTTTTTTATAATAAAGTAAAAAAAATAGAACATACAAATTTTCATAGAAACATTTTGATTCCCCCTCCACACCAGCAGGTGGCGATAATGCACACCTGTCGTTTTCTATAAACAACACAAGAAAAAGAAGACGTGTTTATTCAGTAAAAATAACTGAGATGAAACAGACAGAATTTGTTTGTTCAATCATAAATAGTTTAAATATATTGAAACATAAAAACATTTTAAAAACAATTACTTTCTCCTAACTGAACTCGTTTAAATACGTATCTACAACATGTAAGATATTTATTGTTCGTAAACAGAATCTCCACTTCAAACATCAACTATCCCTTTAAGGTGTGTAAATATAAAGATTCAGCGGGTTGTTGAAGGTACTGTGACCTTTGACCTCTAACCAGGTTAATCCAGGTGCTGCTGATTTAATCTGATTTAATCTGATTTAATCTGTAGCTTTAGGAATCAGAAAACTTCGAGTTAGAAAATTTTACCTCAAAACAAAAACAAACCCATCCGTGAGTGAATTTGTTCGATGAAACAGCAACAAGTCTGAGTCTCAGAAGGTGAAAACAGTGACTCGGTGTTAAAAAAACGCTGCGTCATCGTGCACCCTTCCTTCATTTTCCTCTGTTGCCACAGCAACACGAAGTCAGGCTGAATCCCGGTGAAGTTAATAAACTCTGCAGACATATTTTCTCCTTCATGGACTCCTTACAGTCCAGACTGAGACCTGCTGGTTTGTCATGACCAGCAGCAGGACAGCAGGTTTTAAAAAAAAACTACTTCCTGTTCAGCTCCATCTAATATGGCCGCCACCGCCAGCTGATCTTAAAGATGCTGAGCTAAAACTTAGTGTAGTAGTAGTTGAGAGTCATCCCTGCCTGTGCTCTGAGCTTCATGACACAAAGATCTGATGAATCAGACGTGCTGCAGCGAGCAGAACAAAGAGCTGCTCTGTGTTCTGTCGGGTCACCTCTTCTGGACCGGACCGCCCACACCTCCACCCCACTCGGGCCGCTGCTCGGCTGAGGTTCTGACTCAGTCTCACACGACTCAGTGACTCAAATTATTACTAATTGAATCAAAGACGCTTTCAGCTCGTGTGAATAATTAAACACGGCACAGAAGAGATGACATCATCCATCATGATGTGATTTATTCACTGTTTGACAAACTGAGATTATTTACTTTTAGCTTCTGTTACTTTTAGCTCTGGTTAGCTTTTGGTTAATTTTATCTTTTACCTATTMTGCTATTTTTATCTTCTAAACAACTTTTCAGGTTTACTGTACCTACATCATGCTACTTTTAGCTTTCAGCTACTAATTTGCTATTTTTAGCTTGCCTTTTGTGTTAAGCTAGCCTTTTCAGTGGCGACTGGTGGAGTTTTCTCTAGGGGGGGCTACAACTCCAAAATAGACATACAGTGGTTTGCAAAAGTATTCATACCCCTTGAACTTTTCCATATTTTGTCACATTACAACCACAAACATAAATATA